CCCCCCCCCCCCTACCCAACTCCCCATACCCCCACCATCTATATGACCATACAGAAGGGTTGTACCCGTCAGTATTATAAGTAAGAGCCTGGACCTTAGCCCCTATAATAGGTGTGGTCCCTCTAACTAGTGTTTGATTACCATATAGTAGTCAGGATGGAGTCCAGGTTCGTAGTAAAGTAAGTATTGTAAGACGTTGGGTATATTTACCTACTATTAGGACGGAGTACTACGCTTTGTGCTTATTTGGATTGGTTTTGGGCACACCACAGGGTATTTGGTGGGAAAATAACAGTAGAGCTCCCCCACCACAAGTGATTGGTTTGGTTAGGGTATTGATCAACCCATACATAACCAAGTACGGTTTGGGACCCCCAGTACCAACCACTCCCCCCTATTTGGTACCAACCCCTATTTGAGGATACCCACCAATCTACCATCTTACCCCCCTACTCTACACCACTACTCTACCCTGTAGGGATTGGTAGTGATCGTACCCATAAGGTACTAAGCTATGTGTAGTTACTCAGGAAAGGTATTGGAGTTGGGAGGGACATTGGTTTTACTGATTGCAGTTGCTCCCAAATCCCCAATAAAGCTACCAATCAATAAACAATATGGTTTTGGGGTTGTTGGTTGGGGGTTTGGTAAGCAATGAGTAGTTTTTGGGTTAGTTTGAGGATTTATTGGGGTTGGTTTGCGAGGATCGTCTTGGCAAATACATGAGTACCAAATAACTGGTGTCCCCCCACAGCTTCTAGACGAAGCCTCCCCACCACAAACTACAAAGCTCAGGTCTGTTGGACTCCCATATATATCCAGTAGCCAATTAAAGAGAGTACAAGCCCCCAATACCTCCTTTATGGTTGTTTGGTGGAGTCAAACAAGGGTTGGGTGGTTGGTATGATTTTACCCTTACCCCCCCCTAAATAGCCTCATATGCCTCTATGTAATCAGGTATACTCTATTTGGGACCTATTTTGATTGGTAGTAATACCCACCATTCTCGTAATACTAACTCGGTGAGTAATCATAGAGTACCCCCCTTGACTAACCATGACCACCCACCAGTCTGGTAAGCTGCTTAACAAACAAAACAAAATAGTCATAACCAACTTACCCTGTTGCTAGATAGTTGAAAATATGGGCTCTGTCTCGTCCCTAAAGATGGTTGTTTGGGGTCCCTATAACCAGTGTACGACTCCAATCCTACTCATGATTAACTTTGTTGGGACCAATCTCCCCACAGTAGAGCTTATGACCTCTCATTTGTTGGTTTTTGGGGGATTAATCCTATCTAGACTACTAAGCATCAGCCCCCAAACTTGACTGGTTTGTTACCCATGATCACTTGTGGGGTCCCCAATCTGTTCTTTAAGCTGTCCCCATCAGGGAGTCAAACTACAGTATACCCGTTATTGGGGGTAAGCATCCATATCCATAAAGGGGAGGTCACTGCATAGTATGATAAGGTACTGGAGGTCTATTGGATCTGGTTTGTGGGATGTGAGCTAGATCAGTACTGGGGATGTATTTGTTCGTGACGGTTGGGTTGGGATGGTATAGTGAATGGGGGTTGGGGGGGCCCCACCCCACCCCCCCCCCACCCACCCCACAAATTAACCATCAAAGGGGATATTGGTGGGACCTGTAGGTTGTCAGGGGTATTGGGGGATTGGGAAATTTATACTAGGGGGATGATGGGTCTGGGGGGGATTGATTGTTGGATGGTGGGTAGGGGTTGTAAGTGGAGTAGGCTAAACAAGGTATTTGATAGGGTTGATTTGGGGGTCCTTATGGGTACTCATGGTTGGTAGTCAGGGGTATTTGTGAGGGTATTTGGTGGTGGCTATGGGGATGGTACAATGGGTCATAGTGGATCAGGAGTGTTGGAGGGGGGAGTCCTTGGGATCCCATCTCACAAATAAGGGATCGATCTTGACATTGGGGCTAGTTAGCTAATGCTAACACTGCTAGAAAGCAGGTCAACTGTGTAGTTGTGTGGATGATGTTTTTTGTATTGTTTGTTGTCCTTTGTTTTGTGGTATGTGTTGTACAGGTATTGGGTGGGGAGGTGTTGGGTACTGGGTGGGTTGTCAAAGAGCCCTACTAGGCTAGAGGACCCCATGCACTCTATCACCACCCCTTAAAATATGGTTAGGGTGGGTATTGAGGGCTCGTCCAAAGGTAATAGATTGCTTGATCAGTCATGGTACAATCAAAGTCCTACAAAAGTCCCCCACCAGAGAACACAGTCTAATGGATACAGGACTCTAGTAACAGTACTAGTAAGACTTGCATGATTACTCCTGGATCCCATATCAGTTGTATTAGGCTTTTTAGGATATTAGGGCGCCGGCATTTGTGAGAAAGTGGGTGGGGCCCCCCCCCCCACCCCCCCCACTTCAGATACCTTTGATTGTGGGTCTAGTATTACACCACCCCTCAGGATGATGAGCCATATGGATAGGTAAGATCCCTTTGATTTGCTTAGGGTACCATCCATTACCAAATCCCTACTCATGTTTGGCTGCTAGGTTCCCCTGTTTTGGGACTACCCATATCACGATGGGCCTCAAGGGCCAAGTACAAGTCCTTGTCAGCACCTCATGGTGGATCCGTATGGGTCTTTTAGTACTTACCAGTACCATATGACTGGGGGAACCATTGCTTTGATGCCATGTATTTGTAGCCCGTCTTTTCATACTGCTACCATCCCAATGGCTATCACTATTTGGGGGATCTAGTATTTGGGATACTTACATGACCACTAGTATCATAGACCCCCATCCACTAGGGTACCAATGGTACGGGTCCTATTTCTGAGGGGCCATCAATGATACTGGGGACCCTGAGATTTGGTGGTGGATAAGAACTCTAGTGATACCGGTACTCACTTTTACCCTGGATATGCCCATCTAAAAAGAGTCTTTTGTACCCAGGTATTCACCAACCCCTTAGGTACGACCAGAGGGACTTGAACCCTCAAAGCTTTGTACTACCCAGGCCTAAACTGGGCATGTCTACCATTCCATCATGGTCGTAAAAGGACCCCTTGGGGGCTGGATTGGTATTTGAGAGCTTTATTTGGGGATGGACCCACATATCACATTGCTTTGACTTGTACTCTTGTTTGAGCCATTGCGGAGCCCTGGCAGGGGCAGTTTGTTAGTTGATGGTTGTGAGGGATTTGGTATGGATCTAAAGATGGGTGGATCCTTGATGATCCATTTGCCCCCATTGGAGGGGACGTTGGTGATCCTTGGTGGATGGTACACTTGACTTGAGTTATGGTATGGGATATGGCTTGTATTGGTATTGATTCCCCATTGTATGGATTTTATTGGTCTGAGCATGGTTTATGAGGGTCCGAGGATATTGGTGATCTTGATTAATCATGGCTCCTTTGGTTCTGAAGTTACAACTAAGGCTTTATTAGTAGTTGATTGGTTTGGAGAGAGGTTGTGTTTTGGTTCATACCATGGAGGATTGGAGCAGTAGTAAAATACTTATGATGTAGGGATGCTTAAGGATACAGCAGTTATCAGTATTGATTTGATTCATGATAGGATTCTTTGCTCCCCCCCC